AAATTCAAGAAAATTGGATCTAATATAAGACGATCGAAGATACAATCGTAAATCATTGCAAAATACATGCATAAGAAAATTTTGTACGACTTTACTTCTTGTATTTCTGAGTTGATGCGTCATTAATTTTCCCTTCTAGGTAACTCGTCCGATAAGTTGCCGAAGCAAACACTTTATCGATAACTCTGGCGCGTATTTCCACTCAGTAGGATTGCCATTTTGTCCGTTTCTGCCGCAAGATGGGATAAGTTTGATCGGCAGTGCATTAATAACTCTGCAAGAGGTGTGAAATGGCAGACTTCGTCTTCCAATTCCAAAATCGGATAAATTCCGCCTTTAATCGCCGCCAAAACCGATTGAGACATGATCGACTTTTATATTTCAATGATAAATATTTCTTCTCTTATTAAATTTCTTTTTTTCACTACTGTTTATTAGTATTAGTTAATGACATTCTTTTTAATCAAAATGTTTTGTCGTTGTTACAATTAGTTGGCAATTGGCTTTTGTATATCTCGATTAGATTTTTTTAAATTAAATTTCCTTTTTTTTCATCACTGTTCATTAATATTAATTAGTGATATTCTTCTAATCAACAGAATATTTTGTCGTCGTTACGATCAGCGTTCTTTTACTGCAATTTCGTTTATTATATTAATAAAAACTCAAGCGATATACCTATATGAAACTGTCTTGGGAGTATATTCCTTTCGAATCTTCTTGTTGCTCCTTTCCGACTTCTTGCTCCGAGAGGAAATAAATCGTGCAGTTAGTAGCTCGCACGTATGACATACTATCTTGAATATGCGCATACATCGTAAGATGCATGCGTATTCTAGGAATCGCTTAATGCGCGATCCGTCGCTGTGCAAGCTCGTCTTCTCGTAATTGGTTTCTTCCTTTATTTTCTTCCTCTCTAAATCTCCGCTCGATTCATTACAATTTTTTTTGTCCACCACATACCGCAGCACTGACCTGACCGATATGACTCGTGTGCTTTCAACTTTATGCGCATTATATTTTTGCACATTACGAAAAACCTTATCTACATGCGAGAAAATTTCGCCACTTTTTTCGAATCTAGCTATTTAAAAAAGTTTATAGAAAGCGCAAAGATATCGTAACTTTTTTATATAGTAAATGTACAATTTTTCCCACAGCGAAAGCAATCTAGCGTTATAGCAATTATTTAAAAGTATTAATTATAAGAATTATTTATAATATCACTCCCTTGCTTCAAAAGTAACTCAAAAAATTAAGTTTCTCAGAAAAGAGCAAGAACTATTTTCCAATTTGACAGAAAATTATTGAGTCAAATATAACATTGGCAAAAGAAATATATTTTTAACACGATGTCATTTTTGTTATTTACAACCTTTAAACCCATCCTTTTTGAATTGTGACAACACTGTGACAATTCCTTTTAAAACCATTCTCCTTAAGTCGTGACAATTTTTTTATAAAGTTATGATGGAATATGTTCACTTAACTCATTCATGATAATAGCTAAAAAGATCATGTTTTTTTTAATCGTGTTACTTTCGAAGTAACGAAGCGATATTTATGAAAAAATAATTTTACAAGTACTTATTCACATTTTTGTTATAACACAACATGAGATACATTACTGTAGGACATTTTCCAAAGCACATCTTCTCTCGTAGATTACAAAAAGTTTTCAGATGTAGGAAGACAAAATGAAAATGCAAAAGAGATGTTACTGAAGTTCCTGATGAAACTTGCGTATAGACGAGAAGTAAGGTACGTCTTAACGGTAAAGGTCAAGTCGCAGGACTTCCTTAGTTGTCGCCTGTACAAGATTTTTTTCTCGCGCTATGACACCGCGTTCCTCTTGCTCTCCCTTTACTGCCGCAGCGCGTTATTCTTCTACTAACACGCCTCATCTTGAAGCTAACGAACGAGCTTGCCAACTGACCTTCGTAAGAGATGATGCATATACTCCTTCCTGGTCGGCCCTTTTCTATTACAAGACGAAGTGGAAGCGACAAGAAGAGGTAGAGAGGGTTCTAATCAAGGTGGCTTGCTGGAACTTCTAACTCCTTTCGCTCGGAACGAGATGTCGAGTTCCAGGTACGTCGATCTCGCGTACCACGCTGCAGTAAGCTAAGTCCTAAGGAAGATTATAGGGTGTCTGCATAGAGATGGTGCCGAGTTTGCCGCGGAGGTGATACCAAGAACCTCTCGGTAGAGAGTGATTTTCGGGGGATAAGCTCGAGCAGGATCGTAAAATTTGTCGATTAAATAATTTGAAGACTCGTCGGAACTTTACAAAACTAGTTTCGACTTTCTTAAGGCGCGCCACGACGTAATCGCGGTCTCCGCAGTGGAACATTCACGCATGAATATAAACCGCCCGGATTATACACGAAAATGATAGTCTCCGATAAAATTATTTTCATGGCGTTTTGGTAGTAGTGCAAAAATTTTTATTGCACATTAATAAAACTGGTACAATTGATAATTCATAGTACGTTATTCTAAGAGATTTCAAAATAGCGCGACTCAACAAAATCCAAAATTTGTTAATTTTTCTAAGTGCGATAAACGCGGGATGATATCAGAAACATTGTCAGAAGATGAATCGGCACCAATGAGGGAGAAGAAAGAGAAGAACGGAAAAAGGTAGCAACATGAACGACGGAGCGTGTACTAAAGGGTGTCCCGAACGACGACGGTCAAACATAATCCCTCGGAATGGCCGGAATCGTGGTATTAAGCGAAACCCTCGTGGTTCGTGGCTGCATGTCGAGACTTCTGGCTGGTCGTTCGGCTTCGGGGACGCCGGGTGTGAGAATAGGACGGTGGCTGGATGTTGAATAGGCGCCGTTACAGAAGGTAATGCGTGTACGGCGAGGACTCAGAGGAGACGGCGGAGGCGGAGGTAAGACACGGAGAGGAGAACCGAGGCGGCGGAGCCGAGGTGTTAACATTTGCTTTATAGCGGCCGCTCTACAGCAGGGCGATGGTTTAATACTTGTGTGCCGTACGAGCGGCACACAAACACCACTAGAGAGCGACCGCGAAGGCGTTCACCTGGCGCGCGTATTAAAGGGACACGGAGTATATAACCGCTGTAACACGAGCCCGTTAAACACGTGAAATGATCCGCGCTCCGACAGCCACGCACGTATGTTATTCGCCTATTATATTGGCAGAGAGCATGTACGCCATTGAAAAACATAACATTAGTTTTGTTTACTATATATACTGTTCAGTTACAAGAATATGTAGATCTATATTTGTAGACTCTTATTGTTAGTACTCGTTAAAAACAATAAACTATAATATTAAGAATTTACTCTAAAAGAACTTAAAAAAGTATTTCTTACAATAGAGTTTTCTTATCAAAGTTAGGAAATCATCTTAATTCAATTTACTTTTCATCTTTTTCTAAATTTAAAAATTAGAAAAAGATAAACAAACGGAGCCTTATCCATACATACAATAAAAACAAAATTTTTTTTTATATATCGCAAAATGAAGTAACTTGGTCTAAATTTTGATGCCCAGACAGCACGGATATCAAAATCGGAACACAAATATCTTAAAAATGTCTTAAAGATGTTCTGAAATTTATATCCTAATTTTGAAAAAGCGTACTGTATAGGCATTTTTTTTTTTTTAATTTAAGCCAGTTATGCCAACTGAACCAAAGTTGTTCCACTTCATGGTACCATGTTTCTCAATACGTTGTCAGAAATGGCACGATAAAATATTAAAGCTTATCGACTCATTGATATCTGTGTATTTTAATTTTATGACATCCCATATTAACGCGCGTATAAGCACCGCGCTCCCATATGTCGGCATTGCAGAAATATACGATGTGTATCACCGCTATATAATGGAGGCCCGTTAAATAGCGAAATGACCGGCGGGTTCATATACATTACTATGAGATGTTAATATGACACCCGTTGTTGGGCCAACGAGCGTACGTCTTTTTCTTCTAACCCGTTTGTTTTTCTCTTTTCAGCTCGCAACGCCTCGGTTCGTCTCGCTTCTTTTCTCTCGTATTTTCGATCCGCACTGCCTGGTCTCCTCCGCATTGGGCCACGCTCCTTCGTTTTATAGTTATGCAGCGAGGACACTTTTACTACGACCGCGCGAACATTTCGCGGTTCCGACTCGCGGCGAGCGCTTTTATTGCCCGAGGGCGTTTTTACCCCCGAATACGCTATTCTTTATTTATTACGGAACGGTCACGCTGCGGGAAAAATAGCGTGTGACGCGTCATATCGAGAGCAAGTCGAAATTCGAAGCTAGTAACATTTTAAAGAGTAAATTTATTTCGATCGTCAATTCGGATCGATCTAAACAATTTTACTATAAAAAGATGATTATTTTATTATAAGATGTGCTTCATCATTTCCAAGTTGTCAACATGTGATTATGAGAGTAAAACGCGATTATATGGTTATAAATGCGGATGTAAATAAACATTTTTTCCTCTGCGAATGATACGTGATAGGTACGTGCTATTTCTTACAAAATTATTATTATTGCAGCTAAATTTGCATAATATTCCATAGCAAATAATGTCATAAATTTTTGACATAAAACATGTCCGACCCATAACTTCATGGAGCGTTTATCCCGCAATTGTTACAGAATTCTTAAACGTAATATTTCTGTATTTTAACACGGTTTAGCAATAATAAATTTCAAGAAAAACCGTAAATTACAAACTTTTGATAAAAATAAATATCACAATTTTAATAAACAAATTTATTAAATTTAATCGTGTATTTTGTTGTATTTTTATCTACCAAAAATACAAAATTTATATTTCAACTATTAGTGTATTTAAAAATAGAACGCAAATTTGTAGCTTTCAGATTTAAAATTAACGCGTCTATGTATATGTAATTTATATACGAATGTTTCGGAACGGAAGTTATTGAGACAAATGTGTCACTTATGAGATGCAATTTCAATAATAATAATAATAATAATTAACAAATTAAATTGTCACTTACTTTGTGTAGAAGCCTTCTTTGCAATGCGAACAGATGAAGTTCCGCCGACGACCAGTTTTGTCCAGAGATTTCGACGAAGTATTGCATATCCTCTGATGAATAATGAGGTGCGATCTTCTCGAGAATGAGATCGAACACTTCATACATGAAAAGGGTTTTTCTCCAGTATGCTGCCTAATGTGATTTCGTAGTGATGGTTTCGGGAAAATCTTCGCACAAGTCGGGCACTTATATTTCGGCAATTTGCTCGAAGTCTTTTTATCCGTTTCTTGAACGGCACCGGTATGCAGGGCTTCGTGAAAAATGAATTCGGCTTTGGAATCCGTGGAAAAGATGCACTCCTTACATTTCCATTCTTTCTCGTTACTTTCAGTTTCAGCAGCGTTCAGTGCATCGTTCTTCAAACAATTACCTTCTCGCGTGTGCCTAGTGACGTCTTGTGACAGGGCGAAAAGCGTGCCACATCGAGGACATCTAAAAAGATTACAAAACTTACCATTGCAATTATATATATAATATCCATTATTATAAATTCTACACAGGATTTAATTGTAAGTTGTAAAATATATAATTTAGAATGCGCTAAAGAAGAAATGTTTTAGAATACTTCAAACATATCTATTATATACCTATTATATAACTAGAAAAAAATGATAATTTTTGTACTATTTTATAAATAAAAGAATTACAAAAGCAACATGCAACATCGATGCAACTGTACATGTAATGTCAATAATTTGTCGCCAAAGAAAATGATAAATTACCGATGGCAAAGCTCTGGATGACAAAGAAGAAGATGACTCTTATGCGCCGCGAGATTCGGCTGCTTTTGATCACAGTGAGGACACTCCCGCACTGTGTCTAATAGACCTGCCTCGCTTTTGCGTGCTTTTACGGCTTCCTTGTGACTAGTGGTTCTCCGATGCAGAACTGCTTCTTGGGCGGTAGTGAAGTTCATCAAACAGAAGGAACAGAAGTACGGCGCTGGTCGCGCGTCTGTCGCGATCTCGCCTTTCTCTTTGTCCTTGGCGATGTGACTGGTCAGCTGATGACGCTGAAGCGCGACTAAGGACCGGAGGACTTGGGAGCATATATCGCACTTCATGCGCTGTTGATACACGTCCGACGCGGTATGGCTCACGGTGTGACCAGTCTCTTTGGCGTGCAACCGCAGCTGGAAGTTGTATTGAAATTGCCGATCACAACTGCAGCAGGATAACATACGTTGACGACTAATTACCACCGGCACGGAACCCTTCATCATCGATACGACGTCACGATGACTCGTACTTAGAAGGTGAGACTCCATTGTCGCGTTGTCTGCGCACCAGAAGTTACACGGAGTGCATCGGCAACTGCCGCTGATCTGAGAAAGAGAAAGAAAAAGAAAAAATGATAAGGAATCTCTCTGCGCAATGGAACATCCGGGTGCACGAGTCAATTAAGACCGTCTTATTCGTTTCTCATCTATTTAATGTTCGTTGAGTAATGACTCGTCAGCAGGTGCAAGAATCGTACGCGTGATTGTGCATAATACATGAATCGATGGATGAAAACGTGGATATGTCGATTCTGATCTTGATTCGAAAAATCTTTAACATCTCGCTTCGATTAATAAGCGGCCACTCACCTGTTCTACGGTCTTAGAGTGAAGATCGGAACGCCAATGAAGCAGAAACGTCTCCTCGGTGTTGCAGTAAAAACGACAAGAAGCACATTGGAAGGGGCTTTGTCGAACCACGTTCGCTATGTGCTCCAGAAGGAAACGGCGTACGCTTGGATTGCGTGGATTCACGAGGACACCTGACACACGGCAATGGTAATGGGAAAGCAAATGTTTACCCATTTGAGGCCTCCTCACGCGCGTGCGGCACATCTCGCAGAGAATTCTCTCCTTCTCCCTTTGACGCAGACCTTTCTTAACTTTCTTTTGCTCGGGCTCTTCCTTCGTCCTCTGATAACACAACGTAACGTAACTCGACAGTTTGTATTAGAGATTAAAAAAAATTCTATCCGGAGGGCTGCCATTGTTATTTACATTTGAAATATGTTTCCGTTTCAATCTGATTTCTAAGATTTAACATCGTGAGATATTTTTGAAACACAGAGTATCAGCTCATAAAAAATCAGACAGAATTTTCTTAAGGGGTTATACTACCCAGGCGCACTGAAAAATGAACGTTTTTTTTGGGAATTTTTTTCTTGGAAACTATTCAATGGATCATGGAAAATGAAATTTGAGGCTTTATTATACATGTTTTGAGGTATAAAAAAAATTTTTATTATAACTTTTGATACAAAATGGCGTCTTGGCAAGTGGTAAACGGAACATGTGTTTTTTCCGAGGAGCGAATCTGCGTACATCATAACATTCTCCGAACAGCACCTAGAGCAAAAAAAAAATTTGTCGTTAATCTACATCAGTTTTGCTAGGGAAGTACACACGCTTTTTAAGATTGATAAATAATTAAAATTGTTATTAACAATTTAAAGTCTATTTTTAGCGAAAAAATGAAAAAAAAAGTTCAAACTGACGCCAATTTGCAAATTTTCGATAAAAATGTATAATCGTGGGTACTTCCCTAGCAAAACTGATGTAGATTAACGACAAATTTTTTTTTTGCTCTAGGTGCTGTTCGGAGAATGTTATGATGTACGCAGATTCGCTCCTCGGAAAAAACACATGTTCCGTTTACCACTTGCCAAGACGCCATTTTGTATCAAAAGTTATAATAAAAATTTTTTTTATACCTCAAAACATGTATAATAAAGCCTCAAATTTCATTTTCCATGATCCATTGAATAGTTTCCAAGAAAAAAATTCCCAAAAAAACGTTCATTTTTCAGTGCGCCTGGGTAGTGTAACCCCTTAAATACTTTTCTTAAATCTTTTTAAGTATAATATGTATAAAGACGTACACAGATTTTTTTCTCTTTTAATCGCAATTTTTATCAGAGATTTTTTAAATTAATTTTAGAATTTTTTTTTAATAAAGAAATATAATAAAACAAAAATATAGTTGTAAATGTCAACTAATATAATTAATTAATAGGAACTACAATAATTACTCTTTATTTCTCTTTCTAGCAATAGACATGTCTAACTTTAGCTCCGAAGACGAAACGCAAGATCGTCGATGCAAAAACATTCAATACTGGTAAGATTTCGAGGACTGTAAAGTGTTGATACACGTCGCTCAGATCATATCGCTCAGATCATATCAATATTTTACAGTCCCTGAAATCCGACCCACATTGAATTTTTTTGCGTCGACACAATCTTACATTTTAACTCCGAGCTAAACTTGTACATATCTGCTTTAGCAAGATTTACTTAAATAAGCTAATAGTAAAGATGTTGGTTTTAATCATACGTTAATAAGTTAAAGAGATCATTATTACCGAAATCTTTTTACGAGTGGACACTCTTCTGGACACTCTTGCGTGCGAATTTATTCCGCGCCGTAGATGGAGAGCTCCACCGTCAAGTTCTCTAATGCTCCTCCTGGCGTGCAAATCAGAGAGCAGATGCCTGTTGTAAACCAATCGCGATGCGAGCTTCCTGCCGCAAGGATTGCACCAATATCCCGACTCGATATCCGTTCGTGCACCCGGTACCCATTTCCCTCGCGTGTATCCTGGCGGCGGCTGTCCGGATGTGTCCTTGCTTTCGTATTCCTCGACCTTCTGTAATGGTCGATGTCTCTTTGTCCAACAAATCGTCATAGCTCGCGCGAGGTCATGTACGCTCGTGGAATCACATTGCATATCAAATTCATGCTGATACACAGAATGGTTTGCAGAATGAATCGAATATGAATTATAAAAATTTGCGCATTGATTTGATTTAATCTGCGTTATTTTTTCATTGTTTCATTTAGAATAATCTCCTGAGGCAATTGCTATTTACATGCTTAAGTACTACTTTTCAAAACAAAAATTACAATTTATATACAAAATTATTCATGTGCTTCTGGATCTTAAATCTTTTTTTTCTTCTTACTTGTGATGTCTCCGCGGGTCGCCATTTACCGCCAGTATATGTTGGCGGGGGATGTTCCTGATGATCATTGTCGGGCTCTGCTGCATCCTCCTCATGCATATGCGGCGTGTCCTGCGGCAAATCGTCCAGTCCGGGCTTCCACTTTCCACCAGTGTGATCTCGCGGTGGACCTTCCCGTGGATTTTCGCCGTCATCTGAATCCGAATAGGAATCTTCCCCCAATTCCCCCTCCAGGATATCGTCTTCGGAGTCATCGTACTCGAAGTCGTATCTCGCCAGCTTCTTGTTCGCGCTATTCCCCAAAGAAAGGTCAGCGAGAATGGTGTCATCTAACCAACTCTGCTGATTCTCGTGCCTCTTTCGTTCGAGGGTTGTCGGCTTGAGGGACTGGATGCACAGATCGGGCGGTTCGTCCAGATCGCTGACCGCGGGTAACATGCTGTGAAGTTTATCCTTCGTGCCGGGCTCATCACCATCCACCTGACCTTTCTGGTCTTTCTTTCTTTTGTCATCTTTCTTGAATTTTCTGTTATCCAGTAAAGTTGTCGCTCGTTGTCGGGTGTTACTCTGTAATTCTAACGAGCTGAAGAATGCGTCTGCGTTTAGACATTCGGGATAGGACACCGTTGTCGGCGTCGAAGGTGGCTCGTGAACCATCTCGATTTTAGCATCCGATGGTCGGCAGCCTGATCGACGATGCTGCACATAATTGTCGAGCCCATGAATTGTCAAATTACACTTGATGCAGAAATGAGTGTCATCGTCTTCTTCATAGCCTTCCATTGATTGAGCTTAGATGAAACTGCGGTAAAAGAACGAAAGTATACCCTCGTGACTTACTTTAATTTGAAAATAGCTATTATTTTTTTTCTTAAGTATTATTATTATGACCAACCTCGTGATGCGGTAGTGCGGAACATTGTTATTGTTGTGAAATATCAATCATAAATAAAGCGAAAATATGTCTATGCAACGCATAATAAATGTTATCTCTTTATTTTTGAATAAACTGTTTGGAATATATTCTTCTCTCTTTCATATTTCTTTTTCCTAACAGTTCTTTTTATAACACATATGTTATAAAAAAAACTGCACATACTGCATATACATTGCTTTCCTCATATATTGGCAAATTTATATTAATATAAATTATTTCTTTAAATTGTTTTTAATATTAATATATTATGTTATTCTAAATTATACATACAATTTTATTGTCTTGAAAATAATTCAAATGTTTCCATAAAAATACAAAATTATAACTCCCAAATATATAATAGAGGAGAAGGTAGTATTATGGCCAGTGTAGATATTGTGGCCCCTCTTAATATCTGCGCTATTAAGTGGCGAATTCTAACGATTACTTATGGAATTATTTGTTCAGTAGCTCGCCGTTACACCATGACGCTAATATGTCATTAATCAATAGCCAGCAGTTATCATAACGCATTTTTTACTTTTAAGCATTTCGAAACGTTTCTGAGGAACATTTTAGCATTCAATTACATCTACTTCCCCTCATTTTTCTTAAACTTGAGCGTATTATCACATAAACATATGTATTTTTGAATGTATTGTTTGCTATTTAACATTTTATTTTTGTATGTTTTATTGACAGTATTGGTATATTTTGAGTTGTGCAAATTTAAACAATAGCATGGCATTTTGCTAATGTGGCCCTCTACGGATATTGATTACTCACGGCCTCTTTTCTGAAGTTTTCATATCAAAATAATTATTTGATAATCGTCTCTACTGTTAATCTATATTTTGTATTACGTGTACTATTTTTAGTACACTGAGATTTTTAGTACTGAGCAGCTTATATGCAGAGAAGTTGTGTAAATGTGTAGTATATACATTTATTTGCATACATTTTAAAATGTTTTACTTTTTTGTTAATTTTGTAACCAAATACTGTTTTCTAAACAAAACTAATTTTTTAAGGCTATTTTTATGGAAGGCCACATTACCACCCATATTTTTCTTCGAGTCATTATGCAATGTCGCCACATTTTTATTAATAGTATCCTAAGTAATAAATATTTCGTAACTTTGAGTCCAGAATCGATTCAACAACTATTTAACAAATGTAATTGTCAAGTTTTAAACTTAAATATTGATTATTAACAAAGTTATTGTGTAAAATGTAACTGGGGTGCCATAATACCACCTTCTCCTCTAATAAATGTAAAAAACAAACGTTTTTCGTATACTTGTTTATTAACTGAACATTTTATATTTTTTAAATTTCTGAATAGTAACAAAAATTTGATTTAAATGGGGTATTAAAATTTAGAAAAATTTAGAAATATAGTTTAAAGGAGTACATCTAAAAAAAATTAATAAAAAACTATTAAATGATTACTTCAAATAACTTTTCAATATGAATTTTTGGAGAAATACATATTATAGATATTTAAATCTATTCTACATTTTGCTTATTAATAATTGTCTTATGATTTGAATTAATTTCATTTATATTGTAAATTTTTATTTTATATAATATAATTTAGAGAACGTAAAGAACAATTATAGGAGAGAAAAAAATTTTTTTAAAGTAAGTAGGCGCTTTTCAGAAATTATTTCATCTCGTTTCCTAATTCGACAGCAGAAATTCATTTACTCGCGGTTTCGCGCGCATGCACCGCTGCGAAGTGAATTCGAGAACCGTTTAGCCGTCATACCCCGATCACGCGTCACGCAACAACCGCGTCATGGACAGCTCGCTGAGGACAATCGCGTTAGCGAACCGCAGTGGGCAAATTGAAGGTCCGATATTCGCGTAGCAGAAGGGAAACAAGTTGACGCTTCGTGCGGGCCGGGGGCAGGAAGATCGGTCGATGCCGCCTGGCCGTTATTCGGACGACGACACTTCGCCTCCCAGTCCTGGCCGCCCCTCCGCATCCCTCGCCGGTCCCCCTTTACGCCGCGTTCCCCCTTTACCACCGTGCAACCCGTGCGCGTCCTCCGCATCACCCCCGCCCTTGTTGCGCCCTTTCTGTTTCCCCTTTCCAAAGTCTGCAAACCGGCAGCGACCTCATGGCTCCGTCTCTCGTCTTATTAAGCGGAGAAAACTAGCGAATGAAATTTCCATCCGGCTCCGAAACACGCTCGTCTCATCTCCTCCTTCCTTCCCCTCTATCTCTCGCCCTTTCTTCTTTCTTTCTCTCTATCAACTAATATCCCGGATCCCAGTTTCGTCGCCGTTCGTAGTTTACCTTTGACGTGACCGAAATTCGATTTGCGTATAGTCGAGAAGTTGCAAAAATGTTTCGGTTATGACATAACCAACTTAACGCCCGGGTTAACCGCTCTCGATCGGATGTCGGGTATCACGCGTGGCCGCATAACAGAAGGGATCTGAACGAGCGCCCTTGGTGGATTATTCCCCTGTTGCCGATATACCTTTAAAGAGTAAACTTCGGATCAAATTCCACGGAGAATTTTTTGCAATTCGTTCTCTCGATACCAGACTCTGTAACGGAAATTGTTGAAACAAGACAATGTATCGTAATCTTATTTGCAACAGTTGTAATATTCGATAATTTTTCTGTAGATATTCTACGATATCTCTTGGCAGTCTGCGTAACTTCAGTACACTGTACATGGCAATCTACAACTATATTTGAAAGAATGCATTTGCGAATTTATATATGACGGTTTCTTCATCAATAGTCCACCTAAATAAAAAAATTTTGTGCAATTTGTTAATAAAAAAACTTGCAAAACTTAAATAAACTGAATTAATTTTTCAGAAAATTAATTTTTACACTGAAAAAAATGTTCAATATAAACAACTATAATTTTATTGATGTGTAAATTACCAAAATTATGTTTTAATTAAAAAATTGTGTTGTTTTAATCAAAATAGGATTAAAATAACAAAATTTTAATTAGAACAATACAATTTATAAATTAAAATATAATAAAATTTTGATAATTCACATATCAACAAAATTATGGTTGTTCATACTAAACATTTCTCTCAGTGTAGAACACAATCTTTAATTAAAATATATTCTTTCAATGACAATAATCGATGCTTATTCATTAAATATAGTAACGCATTTATCTTTCCTTATCTAGTTGTCGGAAAAAAGTGAAACAGCGATTGCTTTTTAACGGAAAAAGTGACAAAAAATAATTTTTCAGGCACTAAAATAGTAACCAAAAGTGACACCTTTTATCAAATTTTCAGAGTAATTAAGGTCATTTAAACAAAAAAAATTAATTTTTATTTTCACTGGTCTATCTTTGGATAGCCTGTATAGTAATATATTATTATTTGAAGCAAAAAATAGATAAATTCATCAAATGATAAAAAGGATATATAAAAAAAATGCAGCAAAAAATATTTTTCGAATATGCGACAAATATTTGTAGTCTTTGAAAATCAATGTCGCTTTTTATAGTTTTACATGTATTTGAAACTTAAAAGCGACAAACTTAACACTGGACTAGCACCTACTTAGTTAGCAAAGTGAACGAATAGCAATTGTTATCAGATGAGACAACAAAAATATAAACAGAATGCTTACGTTTCATATATTTCATATCAGTTTTTAATGAAAAATGTGCAGATCTACTTATAATAATTCATTTTAAATAATACACGGAGAAAAATTTTTCTTCTTAGAATTTACCCTGAAAATATCTCAGTCCTGAGACAACATTGTATTTTGAAAAATTTTATGTAAATTTCTCTCATTCATTAATAAAACTATAATAAAATATAAAATAAGTTTGATTAATTTTACTGAAGTGCATGATAAAAATTTTCAAAATATTGTATCATACCACAACTATCATATTTTCAGGGTAAATTTAAAAAAATCTCTCCGTGTAGTGACTTTTCAGAGACTTATAAAAAAAATCACTTAAATAACTGAATGACAATATTAGATAGCTCGTTCTTATGTTAGTAAAAATGACTGCAGATATTTCGTATATTGCGGCAATCATGAAACTAATAGATCGAGCGATTCTAATGCCGGATGTAAGCAAACTAAGTCGATAAATCAAAATAAACAGGCCTTAATAGGAGGCGCGAATAGCACGACGGATTAGAGATCCCTCGAAACCCGAACAATTTCGCGCAAATCCGTCGTGTCACGTATGTAACATGCGTACGACATTAATAAGGAGGACGATTGCCATGAGTATCGTGGATAAACCGGACGGACAGATTCGTGCTGAGATTTACGAGTATTTGTCGAAAAAACAAGGATGGCCATTAATTGGGCGATGCTCGCGTGAACGTCGCTGAAGAACCGATACGTCAATGTAATATCCATGGTCGAAGCAACACTTCTAGTACTGCTCGTTGTCGTCGTTGATCGAGGATCGTCGATGACTAATCCTTAATTACAGATCGCAGTGCGGAAAAAGGATGCGCACCTGCTGCCAACGAAGTACACGTATAAAAAAAAAACGCGAGATTGCTTCTTGAAAAGATCTCATGTGATCTGATCGTGAAGAGAAAGACGGGAAACCACGAGAAATAAATAATACTTGTTGATGGAATTTAATTTGCTACAGCTTGATTTTACACCAATTTATCGTAATAACGATTATTACAGTTTTACTATGTTAAAATAATGTGTGTTATATAAGTTACGCAATCTTTTTTTGTAACTGCAATTATTTTAATCCAAAACTTTCATCTCCTAAAATTTTTACTTTAGCACGGAAAAGACGGTTGTGCTGAAGTGTCTAACAATTTAATTATATACAGATCAGAAAATAATTTTTGTTGACCCATCAAAATAATTATTAAAACACTTAAATTGGCT